TCGCTTTTGTCATAACCATGTATGGAGGGGACTGAAAATTATCAAACTCTTTGGTTGTACTTGGTCTGTGAAATGTGCTATAAAATTAAACTACTATACTACATACTTACTCAAAATATGGATAAGGCAATCAATTGTGCTGGACAGTCTTCTGTGAAAGGCGCATGGGGGTTACTTTAAAACAATTTCAGTCATTATAGATTCATTTTGCTGAATCTGGGGTCAGTTCCGGAGCAACTCTCAGACACTCACTCACTGGATCTTCTTGTTCATCTCATTGGGAAATCATGTTGTTTGAGTGAACCATTACTTTTATCAGCATGAGGGACATTGTGTTCAAATGCAGGGAGAGAAGCGCTACTAATTAGATAGATCGATATAGATGTGATTGTCATTTTATCATTTGTGATTGAAGGCCTTATTCAGAGCAACTGTCTGAGGTGATGGGAGAACAATATTAGTGATAGTAACAAAGCACAGCCACCCGGAAACAGCGTTGAAGGTGCCAAAGGATAGTGCAACCATGGCTCTATTATACACTTAGTGTATTACTAGCTTATGGGCACAGGGGGCGCCCGTGGTACTACAGACTAAATTAATGCAGGCTACTCACAAAAATGTCCCATAGAACTCAATGTAAACTAAAACACCTCAACCTCAGCTGACAGAGAACCAATAGGTTTCATAAAGATCGGATTTTGTGGGGATTTTAGAGTCCCTTGTAATCCTGAATTTTTTTCTTGTTAAATGCTTTGGTTTTCTTTAAATCCATATTTACTGCAACAAACTCTACTGGTTTTCTTCCCACTCTAGCTCCGCTTTAATCAGCAGCTCTGATTGGTCAAAGCGCGGCCGAGCCCCTCTGTGCACGTGCATAGCCACACACGTGTATTTGGCACAAAGCATCATGAGAGCTCGTCCACTGCATAGAACCGGGAGGACCAGACGATGCCAACATACAGTATAGGCGAGTTCCGCTAATCTTTTGGCCGTTGTGTATATCCCATGGGCTACTGAGGACAAGCCATTAATTTGAATAGGGCGCCATCTAAGATCACTGGGGCTTGAGTGCCACCTGTCAAGAATAGTGCAGTGCCCAGCGACCCAATAGCCGCGTTTCCACCGCAAGAACTTCGGGGTAATTTTCTCAGGGCCAGCCTCGTCGGTGCGTGTCTCCACTGCAGAAACTTTCCTCACAGGGCCATTTTCAGCAACTTTTACGGGGCCCAACGGAGTCCCTCCTCCATGGTATGTACTCGGTTGGGCCCTGGTGGGACTTGAGGTTAACCCGACGCTGATTGGCTAAAGCTAGCGCAGGCTCAGGCGCTCAGACGCCAGCAGAAAGCAGCAAAACAACCGGCATTAGCCCAGCAGCATTAGCCTAGCAGACACCACTGGAAACGGCGACCGAGGGAGAGAAAGGTTCCTGTAAAAGTTCCACCCCGCTCCTTTTACCATAAACTCCTGCGGCTATTGTCCGGATTTACTGCTACATATGGTGTACATTGTGAGAAACCGGAGTGCCTGGAGGAAACCTATCCAGACATGGATAGGTTTGCATACCTGCGAACTCCACATAGAAAAACCCAGGCCAGGACGGAAATTTACCTTGTGACCTTTTTGCTATGAGGTAGTCCAGTCCAGCCAACTAGCTGCCAAGTTTTGCTAACATTTCTATTTCTCTGAATAGTTATAAAGCCTGTTTTTCTTTTTTTGCATCACCACTTCAAAACCAGAATAGATAAGCCTAATGTCATACTGTAACTTTATATGCATTTCACGATAAAGTATTTTAATCTTTTACGCTTCAGTACATTGTCTTAGTTTGGTGACTTCATCCTTTGTTATTACTCATTCGTCTGAACAGCCACTAAATACTGAAAAGTCCTCTTCTCATTCTGGTCCCAAATCTCTGTCCATTACTACATTAGAGGGAATTTGCTCCTAATTTATCTCTCTGGCATGTGTCCAAATCTGTCAGCCTGCCCCTGTGTGCTCCCTTTCTTTTGGTTCAGGAGGACAAGCGCGCCCAACCTGTTTATTTTTTTTATTTCAAGACGTTTGATTTTCCTCCTTCAGCACGTGGAAGCTACAGTATGTGTCAGCCCGACCTGTGCCAACTTTCCACTCCAGGCCTTGTGTTTGGTCCTGTTTGTGAGAACACACTCAGGTATCGCGGCAAGAAGGGTTCCTCTACATCCCCAGCGCTACTCCTCCCACATCCTTTCTTTGGGTTCTCCCTTATCTGCGATAAGGGAGACCCCCCCGCGTCTGTTATACATGTCTCGGCCCCTGTCATCATCCCATCCCCTTGACCTTATACATCCTCGTGTCTTTCTCTTTCGGCCCCTAGCTCTGTCATCGTCATTACAGGCCTGATTACCTGTCATTATGGCTCATTTGGGGCCTATCACCGTGGCGACATGCCGTGGGGCAGAGGAAGAATAGAGGGTACCTATCATCAGGGCCTCCCCCTCCTCCCCACGCCCTGTCTGATAACCCCGCCCCCCAGACAGAACCACAGACGACTGCATTGGAGATAAATCTGTGGTAATTAGCGGCGGTTTCTCTTAAGGCCGTGTGGGAAATGTGTTGGTTTTATTTCAAAGTCTGAGATTTATTCGTCCCACAGTGGGGAAATGTCAATGTAGCCAAATAAAATGAGGAAAAAAAAAGGACTCAGGTTATGCACACATCCAACAGGATCTATTATTTAGGATAGAATATTAAAATAATAATATAATGGAATCAAACTCTGGAGCTATATTTGCATTGGGTCAAGGATAAGTCACATGTGAAGTTTACTCTGTGGTCAGCAGGAGGTATTTACAGATTTGTGTATGTTGTACTTTAGCAGCAGAGAATACACAATAGTAATAACAGCAGCAGGTAAAGTGACTAGTGAACGATCAGAACACAAGAAGAATGGAATTTGTAACTATCTAGTAATAATATAACAGGTTTAGTGACTAGTGACACTTTAACAGTATTATTATTATCACTCTGACTATAACTGTTGTGATATTAGGCCTGCATTTGTACGTGTTGTTTTATGTATAATGAGGCAATGCAAGTTTTTTCGTATAGCACAGTTCATATACAAGGCAAAGTCACACAAGGCTTTACAATCATAAATTATCACAGTAAATTAAAAAAGACTGAGATAAAATCCTTCAGATGTTGCAGTTGAACTGTTTTTAACCTGGATTTAAACATGGTCAGATAAGAAGTCTGTCTCACTTTTTCATGAAGACTGTTTTCATGAAAATATCTTCAATAGTTCATTTTGTGTGTTTGATTGGGGCAATGTAAAGTAATAGTATTCACAATGTTAAAGTAAGTTACATTTCACTAACCATGTATATTTTGTTTATTATTTCATATATATATTTTTTTGACCACAGAAATAATTGTATATTATTTTGGCAAATTGAACAAATGTTACACTTATATAGAAGGATAAAAGAACCAAACAAACTGTAACTTTTTTGACTTTTTAATTCATGTTGTAACTTTGTTCTTGGTTAAAAACAGCCCTGGAATTGTTTTTAGATCCATCAACGCTAATATCAAGAACTTCTCTGCCTGTCATCTTTTCGAGAATTTCACTATCAACACAATTAACAAACTAATTAAAGTTAGTAAACACATATTGTCAGAATGAAAGTTGAATATTTGTCCCTTCTTTATCTTCTAAATAAATCCCAGCCTTCAAAGTGATCAAACCTGTACATTCACACACACACTAGTGTATTTTGGTCATATTTGGACTAATAGAATGTTCTGGATCTGGAATCTTGCAGCTAAACGTGTGTGCGAGATGTGATGCAGGATAAGAATTGTATCCAAGTTTCCACGGCAACAGAGGGCAGACAAAACAAGGCCTTTCCTTCGGCTGTAACTGCCTCGTACGGCTGCGATCCTCCCGCTCATTGATTCCATGTGTTGTGTTTTGTTACGCTTTAATAAATGTCGAAGAGGGTCGTTAAAGCATCCACCGACTCTTAAGGTCAAACTTCTTTATTGTATTATATTTTTTCTGCGTCGCTGCCTCGTTCGCAATTAAATGTCATGGCTTTTTTGTCTTTCCGTTTCCCCCGCCTGTCCTTTAAAATAGGCCTGTCCATAACCCAACCCAAATGTGGTTCTCAGTGTTACTTAATGTAGTCTCGTAGATCGTAAAATAAATTCACAGTGTCATCCCGCCAACTTCAGCTCTACCAAAACAAGCATGTTTTACCTCCTTGTAAAGCTCAGTACCTCAAGAATCCAGTTTACTTCATAGTTATTGACAGACTAGTCTTGATGTAGAGTGAGATTTTTAGTTTAGTTGTAGATGTGGCGACAGTGGCTCAGTTGGTAGAGCATTGGCCTTTGAACCTGAAGGTTGTGGATTTGAGCCCACCATAAGACCTACTTCACAACTCCCACTGATGTCTGCTGCCGTTGTGTCGTTGGCAAGACACTTCACCCACATTAGAATGAGTCTGGTGTGTGTGTGTGGTGGTGGGAGGGGGTCGATGGCACATACTGGGTGCCTTGCTTCTGTCAGTGTGCCCCAGGGCAGCTGTAGTTTATCACCACCGTGTTTGGTGTGAATGAATAATGACATGTGAAGCGTCTTTGAGTGTCCAGAAAAGCGCAATATAAAACAGATGTATTATTATTATTAGGTCACATTTTTTCATTTTTTATTCTATTTATCATAACATTTAAAGACCTACTGTCTCAGGCCAAAACTTCACTATTGTGGTCTGTAAATAAAAGACACTTGGGAGCTAAATAACTGTGCATATTATTCTATATTATACATATTGTGCATCTTTTTTGAATCTAGCTAGTTCAGGCCACAGGGATGTATGGCCCTTTTGAAACCGTCTTGCCTTAATGTGTCCCCATGATCTCGTTCCCCTTTAAAAAGCTCCTCTGATAACATTAAGCCATATTTTCTCATTTCTGCTCGCACCATGATACAGTTTCTCTTGTGTGTTTGGTTCCAGGGCTGGGAGGAGAGCTGTGATGCGGCCGTGACCCACCTCCTCCGGACCTGTCTGTCTCGGAGCCCCAAAGAGCAGGCCATCTCTCTGGCCCAGACCGCGGACACGGTGCTGGAGCTGCCCAAAGACACCGCCCGCCTGAAGAAGCACATCACCCTGCTCTGCGACCGCATCGGGAAAGGAGGCCGCCTGTCCCTGTGCTCCGAGGCCAACGTGCAGCTGCCAGCACAGATACAGAACCTGGCAGCTCCTGGTGAGTCGCTAAGACCCTGTTTATTTTGGTTATTTGCTGTATATAATCATAAATACAACATGGAGTGCAGTGCATGAAGGAGTTTCTGTGTTAACAATAATACTTGTGTGTATTAGAAGTTTTAGAAAACAATGGAGGCCTTCTATTGATATTTGATTTTAATCCATTGGCTGATCCTGACTGAGAATCACATTGTTTTTATTGTGGTCACACAACATAACATAGTAGTGCACTTACACCAGAGAGAACATGTCATGCACACTGACATTGACATTCAATATTTGTGTACAGCTGAAACTAACAACAGCAGTCAACATCATCAACAAATCAGACAATTATAGATTTTGAACACAGGAAATGAAATACAATTCAAACACATTGGTCCAAAGGGAGTGGGACGACCACCATGATCATCACTGTCCTTGGATCCTGCTGTGAGAAACCCTGGGAAGGCCCACATTGTGAGAGGGATTGGTTCACACGGACAGACAGGCTATAGACCCAGGACTGAGGCTGTAGACCCAGGTCTCAGGCTGTAGATCCAGGACTGTAGCTCCAGGGACTGAGGCTGTAGACCCAGGACTGAGGCTGTAGATCCAGGACTGAGGCTGTAGATCCAGGACTGAGGCTGTAGATCCAGGACTGAGGCTGTGGACCCAGGACTGAGGCTGTAGACCTAGGACTGAGGCTGTAGACCCAGGACTGAGGCTGTAGACCCAGGACTGAGGCTGTAGACCCAGGACTGAGGCTGTAGACCCAGGACTGAGGCTGTAGACCCAGGACTGAGGCTGTAGACCCAGGACTGAGGCTGTAGATCCAGGACTGAGGCTGTAGATCCAGGACTGAAGCTGTGGACCCAGGACTGAGGCTGTAGACCTAGGACTGAGGCTGTAGACCTAGGACTGAGGCTGTAGACCTAGGACTGAGGCTGTAGATCCAGGACTGAGGCTGTAGACCCAGGACTGAGGCTGTAGACCCAGGACTGAGGCTGTAGATCCAGGACTGAGGCTGTAGATCCAGGACTGAGGCTGTGGACCCAGGACTGAGGCTGTAGACCCAGGACTGAGGCTGTAGACCCAGGACTGAGGCTGTGGACCCAGGACTGAGGCTGTAGACCTAGGACTGAGGCTGTAGACCCAGGACTGAGGCTGTAGATCCAGGACTGAGGCTGTAGATCCAGGACTGAGGCTGTAGATCCAGGACTGAGGCTGTAGATCCAGGACTGAGGCTGTGGACCCAGGACTGAGGCTGTAGACCCAGGACTGAGGCTGTAGACCCAGGACTGAGGCTGTAGACCCAGGACTGAGGCTGTAGACCCAGGACTGAGGGAACAAAGATCCTCTTAAATTATTGCATCTATCGTCTCAAATGAAAATAACCATTACAATCAAAGTCTCAGATGTTTATGTTACTTTCAAACCACATTTTTTCCTCCAAGCAGAAAACACAAAGTCACCACACTTTACCGTCAGCTGCTCACCCTCCGACCCGTCCCCATCGGCCTCGTCCCCCGGTGAACGTTTTCGGCTCGGTCTGTCAAATACATGGAGCCCATTCACAGCGTGGCGTTTACAGTGCACAGACATGCTCCTTTAAGCACACGGAGGTTTGAAGGCACCGCCAGGACAAAAACCGATGCACAAAAACAGACCTGTAAAAGCTGGACGCGGGTTTAAAGTCGACACGCGCTCGCACACTCTCTCCGCCTCATTTACTGCTGGCTGGACTTTACACCAGTCCCACTGACAAGATCATCAATTACAGTCCAACTTTACGCCTCTCCGCTCCCCACAATGCAGCCGTCTGTCCCCAACATTGTTTTTAACTTTCCGCCGGCCCCGTCCCCTCGGTTGCTACAGTTTATGCACTGCACCATACGTCTTTCACATTCATAATTTAATGTTAAGACTGGATTAGATTGGATTATGTTTTTCAAATGTGCTCATGATTTAACACAAAGAGACACAGATGAAAAAGGGAGTGATATATTGGCTTATTTCACTCCACTGTCCTCATCCCATCAGCACAAGACTCGAAACAATACTAGAATAATGCCATACAGTACATTCTCCTTCACTCAGACAAGATTCAGGCCAAAATCTCACTGACCCTATACACCTCTCCCTCACCACTACCACTACTACTACTACTACTACTACTACTACTACTACTACTACTACTACTACTGTGTTTTATGAATGCTTTTTTAATTGTGCCGTGTTGAAAGACAAATCTCTGCTCAATTTGCACTGACAATAAATATCTATTCTATTCTACTACTTTTACTACTACTATTTTATTATTATTTTCTTTAAACTACCTCTTTGCCAGGTGATCATTTCCATAGTTACAACCACCAGTTCTTGACGACCACCATTTGTTGTACCAAACGAGATAGAAACACAATTATAAATATTTCTATTACATTAAGAGTGAAGATACAGTCCCTGAGTTGCAGCTAAACAGAACTGATTTGAACATGGTCAGAGAAGACAAAACTCTGCAGCTCGCATCATCACCTGGACCCCCACAGCTGACCACATCACCCCCGTACTCCGACAACTCCACTGGCTTCCTATTAAACAGCGCATCAACTTCAAAATGCTCCTCACTACTTTCAAAGCACTTCACAACCTGGCCCTAGTCCGTACTTCACCTCCTCCACCCTGCCAGTGTCCGCACACTCCGCTCCTCCTCCACTCTCACACTCTCCGTTCCCCCAGCCAGACTCATCACCGTGGGACTCAGAGCCTTCAGCCACTCTGCCCCCCAGCTCTGGAACTCTCTCCCCCCTGACCTCCGTACCATCGACTCTCTCCCACTCTTCAAATCCAGACTCATAACCCATCTGTTCAGACTGTCCTACCCCACCTAACACACACACACCATTCCATATTGTACTTTACTGTTTTATTCTGTTGATCCTGTTTTTAATGTTTTTATTATGCTCTGTACAGTGTCCTTGGGTGTTTAGAAAGGCGCTTTTAAATAAAATCTATTATTATTATTATATAGAAGAAGCCTGTCTCGCATCTTCAGGAAGACTGTTCCAGATTTTAGCTGCATACCGTAAATCTGAAATGCTGCCTCCCCATGTTTAGTCCTGACTCTGGGCACCAGCAGGAGGCCAGGACTAACATGTCTCAGATGTTCTTTGGTGCGAGGCCGTGGAGAGACTTGTATCAAACAGAGCTGCTTTAAAGTCTATTCTGTTATAATAATGTCACGTGACCAGTGCCGCACGGTGACATCATGTGACCCAGCTGGTCTGAACAGCTGAAAGTCTCACACCTGGTGCTTTGGTGCAGATCACAACAAACTTCATTAGTCACTCAGGGCTGTGGGCATGCCTCTGTGGTGAACTCATCCAGAGAGCTCTCTCCTGATGTCTGTCGAGTCCCATCTCTCTCAGAACATGGACTTTTCTGCTCTGGTGATACAAAGATGAGCTGAGGACCCCATGCTCGCTGTTAGTTTTGTACGTGATTATTATTGTTGTTTTATTTGTGTATGTGTGTGGTCCAAAAGAGGAGACTGGGGTAAATCAACTACTTTTAAAACTCTGAGGAGGTCCAATGTAAATCCTTGATACACAGACACAGATCCCTTCAATTGGCCAAACTAGTCTCCTCCAGTATGTATTATTGGGGGTGGTTATGCCCAGAAGAGGGGCCCTATACAATATATTAATTGTGAATATTAATGTGTTGTATACACTTTGTTTCTTTGTTGTTAATGGTGCCATATTCAAGCTAATATCTAGGCATTCTTCGTTGTTCTTTGCTGTCACTTTGCCTCTGCCCAGAAACTATGGATGAAAATGAGCTTGTAGCTATGTCCGTGTATGTGTAGTAAAAGTAGCTCTATTCAAATCACCCTAAAACTCAACAAAAGTTATCTCGAAGGACTTGAATTTGCCAACACAAATCAGAGAATCAAACAGTTGAACAAGAAATTCAACCATAAAAAAACACATAGATCCATTGGTCCAGCTGTACCTCAATGTCTTCCTGTTTCTATATAAAACCAATTAATTCCTTCAAACATCCTATATTTACAATGCACTACCACTCTGTTTATACGGACTCCCCATCTGCATGCACCCGCACGCTTCCAGCCTGGTAGTAGTGCAGTTCTTTCCACACTCCTGCAATGGGAGCTGCGGTTTGGGGCCTGCGTCTATTTTGGACTTAAAGAGAGGGGAGAAGATGCGAGTGTGTGTCCGTGCGCTCCGTTTGTGGAAGTGGAGGTCAGGAGCAGTGTGTAATCCTTAGCAGCTGTCTTTGTTCTGACTCTGTGGTGTTCCAAATTGAAGAGTTCTCCTCAAGAAAAGTCTAAATATAACACGCCGAGCTCCAGTTGGTGGAAATATAGTCATTACCTGAACAACACGACTTAATACATGAGAAATGCAGATGTTAAGATTGGATTTGGGATGTTAAGTGTTGATCTGTTAATGAAGAATATTACGTTTACCACACAACATTGATAACCTGAATGACATAGTTCTAACATCTATCCATATTTAGTTACAGTGGATAGAAACCGCATAGTCATTATTGCAATATATTAGTTTTTGAGCGATACATTAATTTGCATATACAGGTGAAACTCAAAACATTGTTTAAAAGTTCAATTCTTTCTGTAATTTTACTTATTATGTAAAACCAATGTATAATATAGACTCATTACACACAAAGTGGCATATCCCTTCTTTTTATGATCATGTCGATTATTATGACTTATGGTCCATAGTCCAAAATAGTCTAATTTCCTGAGATTTTTTATCTGGAGTTTTGAGGAAGTAATCAACATAATGACAAATAAAGCCTGATTACATAAGATGAGCAAGATACTCCTTTTTGATCTCATGGGAGAAATTTGTCTTGGGACAGGGGTTTACATGCTGTACACCACAGACATTTGCAAACACCACAGTAGACATTAAAGTTTAAACAGACCAAAAAAGACACAGGTAAAAGCAGTTTATATTCACTCAG